TGGCATTGGGTTGCCCAAAGGTCTGGTTGCTGGAACTAGGGATTTCTGTGCTAAACCCAGGCAATCCTGTGTGAGCCAGGATAGTGAGCTGCCTAGCCAGCACCCTGTACCTGGTAGGCTCAGCCCCAGCCCCAGGGCAAGCTCCAGATTTCATGGTGTCCCATCTTTCAGAAGCCCGTGTGAATTGTTCTGTCCACCCACTGCTGCTGGAGGACTCACCCTCCTGCCCCAACCTCTATGCCAACTGGCTGGTCATCCTTCTGCTGGTCACCTTCCTGCTGGTCACCAATGTGTTGCTCATGAACCTGCTCATCGCCATGTTCAGGTGCCTGTGCCTTGCCCAGGTCACTCTGCCCTTGCTGTGTCCACAGTTCTGGGCACCTCACTGCCCGGAGGGTCCCAGGGTGTGTGAGGGGGCCCTTCTTCCTCCAGGAAGCAGGCCCGGGTCTGCAGATGCCAGGGGCTCCAGGTGTCTGGAAGATCAGGAAGCGGAAGGGTCCCTGTGGGTGGGCCTCACGGTGGCATCCCTAGAGACAACTGTAGAGGGGGTGCTAAGCTTCAGTCTCTGAAAGGTTTCCCATGGCTCTGGGACACCCAGCCTGCTCCTGGCTGCAATGGGGGGCAGGGTGTGTGCCAAGAGGTGAGAATCAGTGAGGTAAAGGCCTGGCATGTGCCCCGCAGCTACACGTTCCAGGTGGTGCAGGGCAACGCAGACACCTTTTGGAAGTTCCAACGCTACCACCTCATTGTGGAATACCATGGGCGCCCCGCCTTGGCCCCGCCCCTCATCCTCCTCAGCCACTTGAGCCTGGTGCTCAAAAGGGTTTTCAGGAAGGCAGTCCAGCACAAGCGGGAGCACCTGGGTGAGGCTGTGGGCTAAACTTTGCTGTCCAAAGGACCCTTTGGGGAGGCCAGGGCCCCTCACTGGGCTCTGTCCCAGACCCAGAGCAGAGGCCCAGGCAACAGGAGGCATGCCCTTTCCCGTCTACCTTGTACCCAAGCTGGGTGCTCCCACCCTGGAGCTCCCTAAGCTGATCCAGACTTGGGGTCTGCCCAGAGAGAGACCTGCCAGACCCCCTGGACCAGAAGATTGTCACCTGGGAAACTGTTCAGAAGGAGAACTTCCTGAGCAACGTGGAGAAGAGAAAGAGGGACAGTGAGGGCGAGGTGCTTCGGAAAACGGCCCACAGGTGCGGGGTAGGGTATCTTGCAGGACCCAAAACTAGTTAGGCAGGACTCACCTGGAACACCCAGCAAGCTGCCATCCCTTCCCCACCAGAGCTACTCAGAAAGGATCATGCCCTGGAGGCAGGCGCCCCACATGCAGACCTGGCTATTCCCCTGAGGTGTGAGGCTGGCACCTTGGCCTGGAGAGGGTTGTGAGGAACCTCAGGTCTGGGAAGCCTCTGCCTGGCCTGGGCATCTGGGTACCTGTCATTTTCACTGGTAGGGAGTTGAGCTGCCTTAAAGATGGATGAGGCCCCATGGTACCGGTGACGGGATACAGGCTGGGGAACTGAGGTTGAGCGGGCAGGGACCCGGCCAGGTCACAGGGGCTTGCCTACCCTTCAGTGGGGGAACACAGGCTAAGAAGCCTGGCATCTCCCTGCTGTGCGGCTCTTCCTTCTCTCCATCCCCAGCCCTCCCACCGTGGGCATCCCCTCTGGCTGGCTGGTATGCCCAGGGCATGGATGACCCCAATCCCCTGGGAGGGCACAGACATGCTCTGTACCTGTAGACTAGCCCCAAGGAGCTCTGTCTCACTAGCTCCGATCAGGAACAAGGTAAGGTTGGACAGGGTCCACAGTATCAAGGTGGGACATTCAGAGGCCTGGTGACAGGCAAGGGGTGGGAAGCTCCCCTGTGCAGAGTGCCACTTGACTGTCACAGCCCACAGTTGGTCCTGCTTCTCCATAGAGTGGACTTGGTTGCCAAGTACCTTGGGGGGCTGAGAGAACAAGAGAAGCAGATCAAGTGTCTGGAGTCACAGGTAAGCTGGCAAGCAGTGCTCCCCGGGGGCAGAGGAGCAGAGGGCTCCTGAGGATAGGGCAGGTGAGGCCCCAGGGCAGAGATGCACATCAGCCTGCTGCTGCCCCAACTCGTTTGAGAGCAGGTGCCTGCCCAGAGCTGGTCCTGGAGACCCAAGAAGGGTCTCACGATTCAGACCCTCACCATCTACTTGCCACAGACTACATAGGAACCATGCCCAGAGGGAGGAGGGGGCCTGTGGAAACAAGAGGCGGGAAGCGGGG